TTTTTTTTTTTTTTGAGAGGTTTTTGCTATAGGGTGCATGTACTCACCAGAAAGACAGAGACAGAGAGACAGAAAGTGAGAAATCACCCCCCCGCCCCGGGGGGATGGCCATACCGCAATCCCTTCTCCTCCATTCTCCTCTCAAGATCTAGGGCATGCACACATGCACATGCGCCCAGCGTGAGTTTAAGCCATCGGGTCTGGGACTCGAACTGCAGTCAACTACATGGGAGTCCAGTGACACAGCCATTATGCCATCTGCTGGTCCCCCTCTTTACAGTTTGAATTCAGGCCCTCATTTATTTTCAGATGACAGTTGCTTAGATTGCTGTAGCAGCCACTTACTGACTTTCTGATTCTGTCCCACTCTAAGCCTTCTCTCCCTGCTTCCTACCTGATCTCCCCCAATTGTAAGTTCGACACTACTCAGAATTGTCCCATGATCTTCCTCCGTGACTGAAAGTCTTGGAACCAGCAGATGATGTAATGGTTTCATGGCTGGACTCCCACGGGGTCGACTGTGGTTTGAGTTCTGGACCCGGCAGCTTAAAATTCATGCCGGGCACATGTGTGTGTGTGCCCAAACTCCTGAGAGGAGAAGAGACTATGGTGTGGCCGTCACCACCCAGTGGGGTGTGATTTTTCACTTTTGATCTCTGTTTTTCTTTGTCTCTCTGGTGACCACATATATCCTATAGCAAAAGTCTCAAAAGAAAAAGAAAAGAGAGGAGAGGAGGGAGAGGAGAGGAGAGGAGAGGAGAGGAGAGGAGAGGAGAGGAGAGGAGAGGAGAGGAGAGGAAAAGAAAAAGAAAAAGAAAAAGAAAAAGAAAAAGAAAAAAAGAGAGAAAAAGAAAAAGAAGATAAAAAAGAAAAGAAATTCTTGTTGTGGGATCCCCTTGGCCTTCTGAGCAAATCTAAGCTTCTTAGCCTGACATAGAGCATCTCAAGATCTGGCCCCTGCCTTCCTGCCCAGCCACCTTCTCCAACCCCACGCTTGCATTTTCCTTCTCAGCTTCTCTGAGTCTCCACGTTTCCATGCGCCCTCAGTCCACACGCTGCGCTGCCGTATCCTCTGTCCCACCTACTGGGTATGTCCTCCCCTTTTGAACTGTTACAGTCTTCCGGGCTTCTCTTTCTTCTTACACCCGTGTCACTGCATTCCTGTCTGACTAGTAATTGGTCTCATTACACCCTGGGAAGAATCCTGCCCTGCTGTCACCTGCACTTCCCCTTACCTGACCCTGTTTGACACAAAATACTCTGTGACTATTGAGTGAAGTGTCACCTGTTGAAAGTTTCTTGTCTCGACCATGCTTTTCCACATGTGATGACAGGCTGTGAGTCAATTACTACCTTTCTATTAAGTTGTCAAAAGTTGTTAACCTGAGTGGTTTTTGTACTTGGAAATAGTTCTTTTTCAGTGAATGGTACCTTGAGGTGAAGGAATTTGACTATTGCGAGGTTCCTGTGCTGAAATGAACCTAGGAAATGACAGTACTATTTAATTCTAAATTGCTGGGGGCGGAAAATCGACTATCGCT